TTCAAGTATCTGTTTAAACCACAGAGTCACAAATATGATTAAAAGAAGAATCAACCGAGGATCAAAACACGTCTCCTTAATTATGTTTCCTAAACATTCCATGCATGACAACACCCATAATCTCCTGATATCCACAAAAGTAACTCATTTCCTCTGTTTTAATCCGCCCCAGAACCTTCACACAGCCCATGTGTCTCACCTGTTCCTTTCCAATTAAATTGTAAGCTTAGATATATGACTCTTAAAACAAACTGCTACTGCCTCTCACAGAAACTCCATACACCCATTGGATCTCACCTGATTATAATAATTAAAATATATCATCCAATTCATTTAATATTATTTACCAATCAGCACTCAAATTATGTTCCAGAGCGAAACAACTTTGTTACACATTACTCTTCTGACAAATTCCTTTATTATCAATTTTTTTATTTATTATGAACTTACATTTATTAATGTTTAACATTTTTAGGGTAAATTCATCAGAATCCACTTTGGGACAACTGGCAAGCTGTCATCTGCTGATATTGAAACATGTAAGCTGGAAAACATAATATATAACTTCATAAAGTGAAAGACTGTAAGTCAAGTAATTAATATTGTGTACTTGCTTCTTCAGACCTTCTGGAAAAATCCAGAGTCACATTCCAGTTGTCAGCAGAGAGAAGCTACCACATCTTTTACCAGGTTATGTCCAACAAGAAGCCCGAGTTGATCGGTAAGTTGGTATTAATTACAGCTGTCAGTAAAACATGTAAAACAGTGTTTGAAAATAGAAAAGGTAATGTACAAATAATATTCTGAAACTGGGAACTTTTTGTATGCAGTAATAAGTGTATTTTTTTTATATTTTGCAGACCAGCTGCTGATTACAACCAACCCATATGACTTCCCACTTGTCAGCCAAGGTGAAATCACAGTGGCCAGCATTAATGACCAAGAGGAGCTGATGGCCACTGATGTACGTTCCTACAACATCATGTATGTTCCGATGTCATGTTTCCATTCTGCACCATGATACATATTTCCCCAACTCCATGTTTTCACAGGAAGCCATTGACATCCTGGGTTTCAATGCTGATGAGAAAATGGGAATCTACAAACTGACGGGAGCGGTTATGCACCATGGCAACATGAAATTTAAGCAGAAACAAAGAGAGGAGCAGGCTGAGCCCGACGGCACAGAAGGTAAAAATAGGACATTACCCGATGGATTACCCATGGACAAAGTCAATAAAATAACACAGTAAAAAAAAAACACTTCTCCCCAAAGTGTTTTCATTTTCAAACTTTCTTACCTTTCCTTAACTTATGTCACAATACATTTCTGTTATGTAAATAATACTATGGGTGAAGGGTTAGTTATTAAAGAAAAGTAGAATTGTGTTGTTGCAGGTCAGCATTTAACTTGTGAAATCTAAGCATCACACTAAGATAGGGCCCAATGGATTACCCATGGACATAGAGTGAATAAAAGAATTGTCAGTGCATTCAAATAACAGTTAAGAAATACCTCTTCTTAAAGTTTTTCATTTTCACATTTTCTTACCCTTCATTATCAGCTGTAACAATACATTTCTGTTATGTAAATTATATCATGGGTGAAGGGTTAGTAATTCAAAAACAAGTGAATGATGTTGTTTTCAGGTAAGGTTTTAACTTGGGAAATCTAAGCATCACCCTTAGATACAGTAAGTGGCCTTACTGTAGCTTCACAAAAAGGGAATTACAATGCATTTTTTTTTTTTTTTTTAAACTATATTTCAGTGGCTGACAAAATTGCCTACCTAATGGGTCTCAACTCTGCCGATCTACTGAAGGCCTTGTGCTACCCAAGAGTCAAAGTTGGGAATGAATATGTGACCAAAGGTCAAACAGTGCAACAGGTAATTTCTGTGCAATATCTGCCAAACATGAGTGAAAAAGTCATCATTGCTTGTAATGATTTCAAATTTTTTATTTGTTGAAAGGTTCACAACTCAGTTGGTGCCCTGAGTAAGTCAGTCTATGAGAAGATGTTCTTGTGGATGGTCCTTCGTATTAACCAGCAGTTGGACACCAAACAGCCAAGACAGCACTACATTGGTGTCTTGGACATTGCCGGCTTTGAAATCTTTGATGTAAGAATTATGACATAATATGTCTGTGGCAAATCATCCATGAGATATGTAAAATGTGACATTATATGATACTTATATGTATGATTTGTATTTTTTCTTAATCAGTACAACAGTTTGGAGCAGTTGTGTATCAACTTCACCAATGAGAAACTGCAACAGTTCTTCAATCACCACATGTTCGTCTTAGAACAAGAGGAATACAAGAAGGAAGGAATTGAGTGGGAGTTCATTGACTTCGGCATGGACTTGGCGGCTTGCATTGAGCTTATTGAGAAGGTGAAGAATAATATTCGCTAAAAGTTGTCTTTCAAAACACAGCATCTCTCATTATCAGTACAACACTTGTAGCACAAGAAAAAACCTTCAGATGATATTTAATAATAATTACAAATCAAACCAAAACAACATTATATATAAAATCTATTTAAAGATATTCCCATAGATAAATGGATAAATTAAGATTTGTGTTAAAGTAGAGTTTCCTAAACCAGTCCTCAAGACCCACCAACAGTCCAGGTTTTGTTAGTATCTCCATTGGAATAAAACAGGGAAATACATAAATTGTGGACTGTTGATGGGCCATGAGGACTGGTTTGGGAACCACTGTGTTAAAGCATTGTTCCATTCATTGACTGTTTTAATGGTATAATCAATAGCCAATGGGCATCTTCTCCATCCTTGAAGAGGAGTGCATGTTCCCCAAGGCAACGGACACTTCATTCACCAATAAACTGTATGATCAGCATCTTGGCAAGTCCAACAACTTCCAGAAACCAAAACCTGGTAAAGGCAAAGCCGATGCTCATTTCTCCCTTGTCCACTATGCTGGAACAGTGGATTACAACATCAGTGGCTGGCTGGACAAGAACAAGGATCCACTGAATGAAACAGTCATTGGGCTGTACCAGAAGTCTTCTGTGAAGCTGCTCTCATTCCTGTACTCCTCTTATGCTGCAGACCAAGGTAAGTAAGCTTGATAAGAACACAATATGGTATATTTCCATGTCAGCATGTCTATAGCATTGTTTCTCTATATTATTGTAGTAATATGGTTATATAGTAATGGCCACAAACTATCATACTAAATAAAATAAAAATTCTACTTCAGAAACTGGTGGCAAGAAGGGTGGTAAGAAGAAGGGGTCTTCTTTCCAGACCGTGTCTGCTCTTTTCAGGGTAAGTGCAATATTAAAGTCTTCCTTACCAATTATTTTTTGTGTTTTTGTATGTATGGAATATGTCATTATGTAATATATCCAATCTACAGGAGAATCTGAACAAACTGATGTCCAACTTGAGAAGCACTCACCCCCACTTTGTACGTTGTTTGATCCCCAATGAGACAAAGACTCCAGGTGGGTAAATAGAAGCAAAAAAATAAATAAGTGAATCTTATGTGGCTTGGCTCTGCCATAACTGTAGAGGATGATTATTGACTGAGCACTTGTCTGAACATTAATGGAGGTTTTCCTTTTAAGGTACAATGGACCACTACCTGGTCATGCATCAGCTCAGGTGTAACGGTGTCCTGGAGGGAATCAGGATTTGCAGGAAAGGATTCCCAAGCAGAATCCTATATGGTGACTTCAAACAGCGGTATGAACAATTAAAAAAAAAAAACCTCCAGGATGAGAAAATTACCGTAGTTTGTTGCATTATTCTGTTAGCAATATGTACATATTTGACAATGTACTTGTAACATCTAAAAATATTAGGAAATTAATATGAAATCTATTTCTTTATTTAATGACAGTTACAAGGTTCTCAATGCCAGTGCTATCCCAGATGGTCAGTTTATTGACAGCAAGAAGGCTTCAGAGAAACTTCTCGGTTCCATCGATGTTGACCATACTCAATACAGATTTGGACACACCAAGGTAAATGGTGCAGCCGAAGATCCTTACTAACCTGATAGATCTACAGCATATAATCACTGCTAAATTTTCTCATTTTAATAGCACATATATTACAGCAATATAAATGCCTTAAAAATGAAAGTAAATCAGACCTGTACTTGATAACTTTATATCTTTATTTTACAATACAAATTATTACTCAAGTCAAGTTTGCAAAAAAAACATCAAAACAGTTGGACAATTATTGGAGGTTTTCAGTAAATATCAGGTCATTGTAAAATCTTGCAGGTGTTCTTCAAAGCCGGTCTCTTGGGTACCCTTGAAGAGATGCGAGATGACAAATTAGCTCAGCTGATCACTCGTACGCAGGCTATGTGCAGAGGATACCTCATGAGAGTAGAGTTTCAGAGGATGATGGAGAGGAGGTACTGTAAACCCCTATATTATAAACATACAAATATATTACCTATACAATAAATGTTGGGTTCATATGATAAATCAACTCCATGAAATTTATTTTAGGGAATCAATCTTCTGTATCCAGTACAATGTCCGCTCATTCATGAACGTCAAACATTGGCCATGGATGAAGCTGTACTTCAAGATCAAGCCTCTTCTGAAGAGTGCAGAATCTGAGAAGGAAATGGCCAACATGAAGGAAGAGTTTGAGAAGACAAAGGAGGCTCTTCAGAAGTCAGAAGCCAAGAAAAAGGAACTAGAGGAGAAAATGGTTGGCATCCTCCAGGAAAAGAATGACCTACAGCTCCAGGTTGCATCTGTAAGTTATTTAACAAATGCGGGATATATTTAATAAGTTAAGAAAAACCTTAATTTGCAACATTTGAATATTATTTTCTGCATACAGCTAAAGTATTTTATTTGCCATTTTAAATATCAAACAACTGGACACCATTAAATATTATTAAATGTTAACCATAAAGACACTCATTTTTAAACAAATTTCTTTTAATAAGTTAACAATATCTGTATATAAACTTGTCTTTCGGATACATTTTCACAGGAATCTGAGGCTGTGTCAGATGCAGAAGAAAGATGTGAGGGACTGATCAAAGCCAAGATTCAACTGGAAGCAAAGGTCAAGGAAATTAATGAAAGGCTGGAAGATGAGGAGGAATCTAATGCTGAGCTAACAGCCAAGAAGAGGAAACTGGAGGATGAATGCTCTGAACTGAAGAAAGATATTGATGACCTTGAGCTAACATTGGCCAAGGTTGAGAAGGAGAAACATGCCACAGAAAACAAAGTAATGAATAATCCCTATTAATTATTATAAGCCTTAACTATTACAGCAGATAAGTATTGTAAAAAAATAAACTACTGTGTAGTATAGTTCTAATGATACATCATAGTTTTTCTTCACACAGTTTGTTTCTACTCATGCAAATTACTTTCACTACAGATATTAATCCAAGTTATTATCTATTAAAAGCCTTAAATATTATTTTAGATAAACAATGTAAAAAATAAACAAAATACGAAGTGGAATAATGCTTAGGAAACATTATTATATGATTTTGTTTTCATATACTTTGATTCTAGTCATACAAATGACACATAACACACCTGACACACATAAATTAATCAAAATGTCGAAATCTAGGTGAAAAACCTTACAGAAGAAATGGCTGTTCTTGATGAAAACGTTGCCAAGTTGACTAAGGAGAAGAAAGCCCTTCAAGAAGCCCACCAGCAAACTCTGGATGACTTGCAAGCTGAAGAAGACAAAGTCAACACTCTCACCAAAGCCAAAACCAAGCTGGAACAACAAGTAGATGATGTACGTACATGTGATGTAAAATTCTAACTTTCAGCGACATTCTTGCCCATGACAAGTAATACGCGATATCAATATCTTTGTTTTGTGATACTGATGGTGTACATTACATAACTTAGTCGACAGTTGTAAATTTTTCGACTTGACTTGAAATTAGGAAAACTACCGTCTTGTGTTGAGTGTTCAATAAATCCTTTCAATGTCCCATTAGCTGGAGGGTTCACTGGAGCAAGAGAAGAAGCTCCGCATGGATTTGGAGAGAGCCAAGAGAAAGCTGGAGGGTGATCTAAAATTGTCCCAGGAATCTACCATGGATTTGGAAAATGACAGGCAGCAGCTAGATGAAAAAGTTAAAAAGTAATACAACTGGCATTGCATCTACAGCTTACTAACCAGAAACATGCACTGTAGAAGAAATATATACTCTCCCCAGTCTCTTTCTTCTCCCTAATTAATTTTCACTAGTGTCTTCTTTTTCCTCTCTCTCCTCTCTTTTTCTATTCCCTTCATGTCTTTAACAGTAAAATGTTGTGTTAATCTGAACATATATGTCTTGGACAATCAACTCAAACAGGTGTATGCGCTAACGTTAGAATTATAAGTGATATTAAGGTCAAATTCAAATTTAAGAACAAAATAGGCAAACAGGAAAAATGATCTAAGTCAACTATAATTGCACATTAGCTACTCTGGCCTTAAACTTTAAATTTATTTTGAATTAATTCAGAATTTTTACTTTAGTAAATATATCCAAAAATGTTCACTACACTTATTCCTCTATTGCTTACATCTTGATTTATTGGACATCTGCAAATTAAAATACATCTTTATTTAGCTTTTTGTGAATTATTTTAAATATTATGCAATGTAGTTAGAGAACCCATGTTTGTTAATGTCTGATACTATTAGCAAGTAAGTTTATTGATATTGATAACGGTTTTGTATCACTGGTGTTAGACATATAGCTCTTGTTTAACAGGAAGGATTTTGAAATCAGCCAACTGCAAAGCAAGATTGAAGATGAACAGGCTCTGGGTACTCAGCTGCAGAAGAAAATTAAAGAGCTACAGGTACCTTCCAAACCAAAACACAACAGTCAATCTTTGAGGTTCAAAGCCAAGTTTCTGACTATACTATTTTATCAACATTTCAGGCCCGTATTGAAGAGCTGGAAGAGGAAATTGAAGCAGAACGAGCAGCTAGAGCCAAGGCTGAGAAACAACGTGCTGACTTATCCAGGGAGCTTGAAGAGATCAGTGAGCGTCTGGAAGAAGCTGGTGGAGCAACCTCAGCTCAGATTGAGATGAACAAGAAGCGCGAAGCAGAATTCCAAAAGATGAGACGTGATCTGGAAGAGGCCACACTGCAGCATGAGGCCACAGCCTCCGCCCTCCGTAAAAAGCAAGCTGATAGTGTTGCGGAACTTGGAGAACAAATTGATAACCTTCAACGTGTGAAACAGAAACTGGAAAAGGAAAAGAGTGAGCTGAAGATGGAGATTGATGACCTGGCCAGTAACATGGACTCTGTCTCCAAAGCTAAGGTAAGGACTAAGCATATGAAAACAAAAAACATAAAAATGTCAAAAATCCATAGAATTAGATTCCGGCATCACTAATTTGCTGATAATATTTTCTAACTTTTGGCTGGTATATTGGGACAGCAATTAAAGGGAACTCATATTTTGAATGTAATACAGTTAAAGTCAGAAAACATTATTACCTTTAAAAAAGGCCTAAACTGTGATTTCTTGACCAAACTGAATACTGAAGTGGAGCATGATAGGTTGAAATTGCAAGGTTAACAAAAAAAAGCAGGTCTTAAGTAATGATATACATATATATATATAATATTTCAGGATATTAGTTATTTGTTAGGAAAGTGTATTCAAATCCCTTACAAGTCTTTTGAGGCATTGAAATCATTTATTTTTGATCGTTCCTTAAAGTGTTGGGAATTCCTTTCCTAAGGTAAAATATAACTGGAATGGTGAGATTGTATTGTCAACTTTAGTGGCTCATTAGCAGGTGTTGATAAATATTAACATCTGTTTGTAATTTTCCTAAAATTCAATTTTTTGCTTCTCAATAGTCAAATCTGGAGAAGATGTGCAGAACATTAGAGGACCAATACAGTGAAGTGAAGACTAAAGAGGAGGAGCACCTTCGTGTATTGAATGACATCAATACTCAGAAAGCCCGTCTTCAGACGGAAAATGGTAACTGGCCCATGCATTAAATGTTAATATAAGTATCTCATAGAAATGGAAGATTTAATTTAGTGTAATGCTCATTGTATTCATTAGGGGAATACTCTCGTCAGTTGGAGGAAAAAGACTCTCTAATTTCTCAGCTATCCAGAGGTAAACAGGCTTTCACCCAGCAAACAGAAGAACTAAAACGTCATCTAGAGGAGGAGACAAAGGTAAACACAAAAAAAAAAAAAAAAACATCAGCTAATATTGTCTAAACCTAACATTGATGAATATAGATTTATAATGTTCTTTCTTGTTTAACATTAATATAATGTCATGTCACCTTTAAGGCCAAGAACGCCCTAGCTCATGCATTGCAATCTGCCCGCCATGACTGTGACCTTCTCAGGGAGCAATATGAAGAGGAACAGGAAGCCAAGGCTGAGTTGCAGAGATCTCTATCCAAAGCCAATGGAGAGGTTGCTCAATGGAGGACAAAATACGAGACTGATGCCATTCAGCGCACAGAGGAACTGGAAGAAGCCAAGTATGTCTACAATAGATAGTACTATTCCTTGTGAAAGAACATGGTTCACCACAAGATTTAACTAACAAATATTAGATTCCTGATGTATCTATCCACATGCTTAAATAAAAATTTTTTTTTTAAATAAGTTTGCATGCAGGAATAGTGATATAAAACTAAACAAATTTATAAAGACTAGTGATTCCTTAGAATAATTGGTGCCCATTTTTTTCACCATGTGGAATCTGAAATATTACTTTACATTGTTAACAACTGATAGTAGGATTGCGATTTCTCCTGAGGGCTATGTTTGTGGTGTTCCTATCACTACAAAGGCATTATTTTAGCCAACTAATACTCTTGAAACCAACTTAAAATGTCCATATTTACCATTAGTTATTTTTAAAAGATAAGAAGTAAAAATGAATAATGTTCTAATGTAACAGTACAGATTTTTAGAAATTGACTTTTATCTGCTGGTTTTTGGTTTTCTGTACATCACTCTATCAACATTTATTTTTTCCTTAACTAAAAACTCTATACCTAGAAAGACACTCATCCAATTTGATATTAATATAATAGGAAGAAACTTGCCCAGCGTCTCCAGGAAGCGGAGGAGCAAATTGAGGCTGTCAACTCTAAGTGTGCATCTTTGGAAAAGACCAAACTGAGACTCCAAGGAGAAGTGGAAGATCTTATGGTGGACGTAGAACGCTCCAACTCCGCCTGTGCAGCTCTTGATAAGAAGCAGAGGAATTTTGACAAGGTTTATTTCCTATATATTACACATTTTAATTGAATGTGGTAAATGTATTTAAAACAATGTAGAGCAAAATGCTAGAAATGCTACATTTTAAAATAGCTAAAATATTTTCAGTATATCATAGTAACAAAAAAATAAATAAAAGGCCAAATCAACAAGCCACTGTAAGTTTTTATCTTTGAGTGAACAAAATTCTCACCTTGGGATCTTTTGATGTGTGTGAGAGACTTTTACATAAAATACTTGGTTTTATTACATAGATTCTGTCTGAATGGAAGCAAAAATATGAAGAAACTCAGGCAGAGCTAGAAGCCTCTCAGAAGGAGACCAGGTCTCTAAGCACAGAGGTCTTCAAGATGAAGAATTCCTATGAGGAAGCTCTGGACCAGCTTGAGACTCTTAAGAGAGAGAACAAGAACCTTCAACGTGAGTATGATGTGAATGTTGATAATACTGTTTAAATCAAGGTGTTGATTTCATGAAAGTGTTAACTTATCATGTATATAACATAATCCAAAACTTCACGCCGATTCACCAGTTTTTAACTTGTTATTAATTGTGTTTTTCCAGAGGAGATCTCTGATCTGACAGAACAAGTTGCAGAGACAGGAAAGAGTGTTCATGAAATAGAAAAGGCTAAAAAACAGGTGGAGCAAGAGAAATTTGACTTGCAGTCAGCTCTAGAAGAAGCAGAGGCAAGTATTGTTTTAACAATATTAAAAACATGTTCATATGATAGTTCTGCAATACTCTAAACACACACTTGAATCTGTACCTAGGGTTCTCTGGAGCATGAGGAGGCAAAAATACTTCGTGTACAACTTGAGTTAAATCAAGTAAAGTCCGAGGTGGACAGAAAAGTTGCAGAGAAGGATGAAGAGATTGAACAGCTGAAGAGGAATAGTCAGAGATCTCTGGAGACCATGCAGAGCTCCCTTGATGCTGAGATCAGAAGCAGGAATGATGCCCTTCGAATCAAAAAGAAGATGGAAGGAGACCTTAATGAGATGGAGATTCAGCTAAGCCATGCCAACCGCCAGGCAGCAGAAGCACAGAAACATCTCAGGAATGTCCAGGGACAACTTAAGGTAAATAACTGTGAAAAGAAATGCTTAATCTTGCATGAATATGTGTTTGGATAACATGGCTTTTAATGATGGTAGGATTCCCAACTACACCTCGATGATGCTGTTCGAGGAAATGATGATTTGAAGGAACAGTTGGCTATTGTTGAAAGACGCAACAACCTCATGACTGCTGAAATTGAAGAAATTAGAACTGCCTTGGAACAGACTGAGCGTGGACGCAAAGTGGCAGAACAAGAGCTTCTTGATGTCACAGAGCGTGTACAGCTGCTCCACACTCAGGTATGGATGTTCTAAGATTCCCTTTTTTTACAGTTTTTAAAGAAATATTATATATATGAACTAGGACCTCACTTGTTCTCCTTCTACTCAACAAACAGAATACCAGCCTCATCAACACCAAGAAGAAGCTTGAATCTGATCTCTCACAACTACAGAGCGAAGTTGAAGATTCTCTGCAAGAATCTAGGAATGCAGAAGAAAAAGCTAAGAAGGCCATCACAGATGTATGTCTAGTTACCAATGAATACTATTTTTTTCAGGCTATGTGCATCATGTGTAGGAGGGGCATAAATCCAATAACTGAAATATGCTTTGGTGATTCTACTAGGCTGCCATGATGGCTGAAGAATTAAAGAAGGAACAAGACACCAGCGCTCACCTTGAGAGGATGAAGAAGAACCTGGAACAGACCGTGAAGGATCTCCAGCACCGTTTGGATGAGGCCGAGCAACTGGCAATGAAAGGAGGAAAGAAGCAGCTCCAGAAATTAGAGTCCAGAGTGAGTTTAGATCTCTATTTACATCATTATATATTTAATTCATGTGTACAAAGTATGTAACATAACAATATAATGTCCTCGCTATCCAGGTGCGTGAGCTGGAAAATGAGCTGGATGCCGAACAGAAGAGAGGCAGTGATGCCATTAAGGGTGTACGCAAGTACGAGAGGAGAGTAAAAGAGCTGACATACCAGGTGGGCTTGGTTTAATTATTTTTTATTTTCGCTCGTTTAATCTAGTGGCCTATTAGACAAATATATTTAATTATGTATATAATGAGCCCAAATCTTAATATGTTTTAATAAATCACAGTCTGAAGAGGACAAGAAGAATGTCTTCAGGTTGCAGGACTTAGTAGACAAACTTCAGCTGAAGGTGAAAGCTTACAAGAGGCAGGCCGAGGAGAGCGTAAGTATTATTTGCCTAGTCCCTTTCTGGATTTCACTGCTAAGATGCAACAGACATTCTAACCAACCCATTCTTCTGGTTTAGGAGGAACAGACAAATATACATCTTTCCAGATTCAGGAAGACTCAACATGAACTAGAAGAGGCAGAGGAACGGGCTGATATTGCTGAATCTCAGGTCAACAAGCTTAGAGTCAAGAGCCGCACTATCACCAAGGTATGAACGTTTCTGATACAGTGAGATTTATACTCTGATTGTTATTATACATAACACTGATCATCCTAGTTATTATGAAATCATAAAAGAGAGCATTTTACCTTTGCATCCAGTTGAATCAGTGAAGTGTAATATCGGTATGAAATATTGAGATGTTTTTACATTTACAAATGTGTTTTTATTACAACCACCAAATAGTGATCCTCAATGTTTCAGCTAAGAAGTGACTCACTTTAGAGTCAAAATGTTAACAGGTCATATCTTGCTGACTGTAATAAAAGGCACTTTTACAACTTAATATGATTAATATTTATTTTAACTGATAGAAGGATAGATAGGTTCACTGATGGGTAGTATGGAGAATAGGACATATTAATGAAGTCAGATGAGCTGGTCTAAGGGGGACTATTGATGAAGAGGTCAGATGGTACCACGAATGAAAGGCCCAGCCAGGTTTTCAGGAGAATTAAACTAGTGTCAATGCTAAAAATAATGCATTGGATAATCGTGTGTGTGTGTGTGTATGGGGGAAGTAAAAAATATTACCTTTAGCAGGGCTTAAATTTTCAAATATATGACTAGCCAGACCTTAAACGTTACTTACAACTGCAAGTCTGGAATTTCTGTTGGCCAGGAGAAATGTTCTACTCAACAAGGCTACATTTTCACACAGCATTGGCTAGTGGCAAGTGGTAATTTTGAGCCCTGCCTTTACTGTAATTTTGTATAAATTGAATTTAAAACGTCATATTTCCCACTATACATGAAGATTTAAGAATATTTAGTTCAGTTGCACTGCAGATAGCTTTCTATCCAATATATAAACTAGGGTGGGTGATTTGATTTTGGTTACATTCTACTGTAATACAATGTGTACAATTTTCTATTTCACAGAAAGTGGAAGAATAAAGAGAAGACGTGGTTTACACAAGTTCATACAATATGGACTTCATTGTAATTAAAGTAATTTGTTTTAATGTAGTTCATGCAGAATGCAAATAAACCCTGTGTTTATACAGAACTCTGTGTGTGCTAGCGATTATTCTAATGATACTAAGAACATCTAATCAATTCTGTACTGTAACATGTGGAGACTCAGGATGCGTAAAATGCGCTTTGGAAGGTTTTCCCGACTCCGTTTTTTTAATTCAAACATCAGCCTCTTGGTTCATCATAGCCATGTGCAAGGGATGTTTAAGATGACATATCCTAATATAGAGAGCAAAAAACAAGGTGTAAGAGAGTACTGAGAACGGACAACAGCTCAAATAGTCTGCCCTTCGATGGGTCCACACTTAGACATCAAGCTGGTTATAGTTCATCTTGCGCCATTACAAAAAGAACCAGGGCCATTAGCATATCAGACTTTTCCCACCCAAAAGGGCAGAACAGATCCAAAATGCAGGTTGGCTCTCTCTGCGCGAGAGATACAGCAATCCCAGACGATCGTTTCAGCCTTTTTAGGCATTGTCAGTGAGGTATCGCTGATATCCCTCTAGGCACCGTGAGCAAGGTGTCCTAGTCTGGATTATCTTTTTAATCCTAATATAGAGCCGCATTGTCCTCTTTATCCAGTCTAGTTTTTCCTGGCGTTTTGGGGAGAATTTGGATTAGCTTCTTATGTTTTTTAAGAAAAAGAAAACGACTACATTTGATACTGATTACTACAACAACAACAACAAAAATAATTTTGTCCCTTTTTCAAAAATCTTCTGATTGCACAGCCTAATGTGTTGTGTTTTGCATTCTTGAAATTCTATGCAGTCTTTTCATGAAATACATCTCTTTAGAGTCTCCCAACCCCCAACCACCCATCCCATCCCCCATCCATCTAGACTAAGAGAATGAATCCATTCTGTAAGGGTACTTCTGTGAACACAGGTGTTTTAACAGTGAGAAGCTAAAGCCAAACATATCTTTTTAACCATTCCCCAAATTTTAATAACAGAAAGTTCACCAAAATCTTACACTTTGAGATAGCCAATCCTTTTAAAACCACGCTATGTAAAGAAAACTTGGGTATTCACATTAGCTTTACATAGTTACGTAGGATGAAAAGAGACATGTGTCCATCAAGTTCTGCCTTACATTTGTTGTTTTTCTGTTTATCCTAAAGAAGGCAAAAAAACAGTTTGAACCACAGTGATTATTCACCAAAGTGTGGGTTGTTAAGAATTCTAAGTGGATTTTAATTATAGGCCAAACCAACTAACTTGGAGAATTATTCCATTTTAGCTATTTTAGCTATATTTTTGTTTTCCTGAATTTTAGCTATTTTAATCTTGTATTTGATATTAAGTTTGACTTTTCACAATTCACACTTCGGTGGAGAATCCTGTGCATGTTATAACTTTATTTTAACACTCTACTAGCAGCCAAATTTTTTAGTAGTGTGACAGACTACCCAGTCACCCATGCCTATACCAGGAACAGCCCCGCACTTCACCCCCCAAACAGGCATAATCACTGTGTCTATCCCCCAGGTTTTGCCCAAGAAACCATGTCCCTAACCCTGGCTCTCATCACCTTGTAGCGGATGGCATTGGGCTGTTCTAAAAACTACATTTATTATTATGAATTCGGTTAAATTGTATCTATGTATGTGGAACTGTATGCAGCATTCGCCTGATTGTTCGGTAGATTCACTCCAGTCCTTATGAGAATTAAACTACCTAACAGTCAGACCACCCCAGTAGGAAGTGTGCCTCCATATACCGGTTGCAACAATGTTGCGAACGGGTAATTGGCAATCTGTGCAGTGGGTCCTTTGTTTGCGGGGTGGCCGCCATTCGGGAAACGAACACGTTAAAACTCCCGAACAGCTGTGTTTTGCCGTCGAGTGTCTGGAACCCAAATCGGACACTCGGCTAGGCGAACACCGCTGAGACCTCCACACTGCCCTTAAATTCATATCCAAACTACTGAACAACCACCCGTTCGGTAGAAAGAAACACCCGAACAAGGGGATTCATGCGAACCCTCCCTAGTCTCTATAGCACAAGCCTTTCGTGCCATTTATTCCCTTCTTCTGTGACCGACCGCAGGGCCCCATCTCATGGAACCAATTTCGTCTGTTCCCTCCAGCGCAGTCGGTCTTTTTAATACATCCACAGATTTCCTGAACCCCATGTCCGATCTGGGTGATTTTTGGATATGTCTCTCACCCAGATCAGGGTTACCAGGGGATGTAATATTTAAAGGGGTACCCCTAGGTTTAGGTGTACATCCAAAAACCCAGGGAATTTGTGTTCTGTATAGGGGGATTATGAGTCAGGCTAAGGGGAGGAGATGTGTGGGAGGTTACTCAGGTATGATTGGACACTGTACTAATGATTGTAAATCCCTGAATGAATGCTTTATAAGGCCACTATGTGAATAAAAGTTCAGTTCTGCTCCTGATGCTGTGTGTCGTCCAGTCATTGGGATTGAGGTTGGGATATTGCTGGATTATTTTGCCTGCTGGAAACCTTGCCTTGTGGATTTATAACACTTGTTCCTGAGCCTCACTGGGATCAAAAGCGGAGATAACCTGTGGAATACCAGATCTCCGCTACACACCTACCCCTCCATGCCAAGCAATCAAGAGCATCTCTCCATATAGGCCATCCAATGAGTCTAGAGAGGAACGAGGACTGTAGCAGGACTTGCTCACAATTCTCTTGAACTCTGGCCAGGCCGCGGCTAGCCCAGATACCTAACTTCCAACTCCATTTTTCCCTATTTCCCAACCAGCCAGAGAGCGCCCCCTTTTCAGTGCCCAGAAGCTCAAGTTATTTGACCGGCAAAAAGGAATGGGGGTTTAGTTACAGGATATGATCATACATTGCATAACTACATACTGTAACTAAAGCCACATTATTATTTGCCACTCACCTGGCATTTATTTATTTTGTAATTATTTGATTTAACAAGTAAAATAATGCAACTGTTATAGCAGCATGCCAACTTATAAGATCATTTGTAAAAGTTACAGCGCCAATAAAAAAAAAAAAATTTAAATCAGGTGTGTGATATCCTAAACATCACAAAAATTAAATACTTAAATTAAAATTTATATTCTCAAACATGAAACTATATAACAATTATTGAGGCTGCATACAAAAAAAAAAAAGAGAGAAACTAATGGCGTGGGAAACATTCAAACATTAACGCTGTACACGTTCCAAATATGTGCTTAAAGAGGGATTTATAAAAATCTAAATTAATTAATAAAGTTGAAATAAATAAATAACATCACTTACATCACAGCACAAGTAATACCAAAGAAATACAAAAACATACATATATATAAATGACGGGAGAAAAGGAATTAATAAAGTAAAAACCTAACCACCCCCTACAAAGGTCTTACCACGTGGAAGACTTAATATATATAGGGATGAAGCCCCACAGGTAACTTGCTCTATCTGTATGGAAAAGGTTAGAAGGATATCCTTGGTACTTTATCATACAAACCAATGGAATACCTCCACGATTAGGGAGCATATCGCAGATTTAAAAAACAACTTGTTTTCAATCATTACCCCCCCATATTAAATGGAAAACAAATCACTGATCACTGATAGAGACATTAGTTAATTATTACTATATAACAGTATCTGTTTTTGGCAGTATGGTGAACTTCAGAGCTGCTGCGGAGTGACAGTGACATATGTGCAAGGACACTGCCCCAATACAAACATCACTGTTTAGTAGATATACCCCAAATTGAAACATTAGCTCATTTAATTATGCACTTGTTTCATTAGGGATATATCTTAAACAACTCGCAAAAATTACAGATCTCTTCTCCGAAGCTTTTGCAAGCGGTCCCCTTCTAAACAGTTCATCTTGCCCCCAGCAATCAAATTTGAGACTGAGCCACGTAACTCGACCAATAACATTTAATCTTTATTTTCATGCAACATGTGTTTAATATAAGGCAAAGGTAACTGCACAAAGTGTACATATATTAGCATTAGCATAATGAGCAGTGAAATGTGCATTGTTATTAAATTAATTTATACATAAATGCACATTCTACCAAGTTCCATTTGTGCACTGTTACCTCTGCCTGATATATATATATATATATATTTTTATTTTATTTAAAAAAATATCTTGAGTTATGCTTCATAACAGAAGCAATATTTAATAGAAAGCTAAAGTTATCATAGCAGGAGCATTACTGAAGATGAGATCATGTAAGGGTGGTCTAAGAGAGGTCTAGGAAGATAGAAGATATATATCTCTGTATTGTGCCCAGCTCTGTGTATTGTATAGGTATCTCTGTATTGTGCCCAGCTCTGTGTATTATATAGGTATCTCTGTATTGTGCCCAGCTATGTGTATTATATAGGTATCTCTGTATTGTGTCCAGCTATGTGTATTGTATAGGTATCTGTATACTGTATAGGTATCTCTGTATTGTGCCCAGCTATGTCTATTGTATAGGTATCTCTGTATTGTGCCCAGCTCTGTGTATTATATAGGTATCTCTGTATTGTGTCCAGCTATGTGTATTGTATATTTATCTCTGTATTGAGCCCAGCTATGTGTATTGTATAGGTATCTCTGTATTGTGCACAGCTCTGTCTATTGTATATGTATCTCTGTATTGTGCCTAGCTCTGTCTATTGTATAGGTATCTCTGTATTGTGCACAGCTCTGTCTATTGTATAGGTATCTCTGTATTGTGTCCAGCTCTGTGTATTATATAGGTATTTCTGTATTGTGTCCAGCTATGTGTATTGTATAGGTATCTGTATACTGTATAGGTATCTCTGTATTGTGCCCAGCTATGTCTATTGTATAGGTATCTCTGTATTGTGCCCAGCTCTGTGTATTATATAGGTATCTCTGTATTGTGTCCAGCTATGTGTATTGTATATTTATCTCTGTATTGAGCCCAGCTATGTGTATTGTATAGGTATCTCTGTATTGTGCACAGCTCTGTCTATTGTATATGTATCTCTGTATTGTGCCTAGCTCTGTCTATTGTATAGGTATCTCTGTATTGTGCATAGCTCTGTCTATTGTATAGGTATCTCTGTATTGTGTCCAGCTCTGTGTATTATATAGGCATCTCTGTATTGTGCCCAGCTCTGTCTATTGTATAGGTATATCTGTATTGTGCCCAGCTATGTCTATTGTATAGGTATCTCTGTATTGTGCCCAGCTCTGTGTATTATATAGGTATCTCTGTATTGTGTCCAGCTATGTGTATTGTATAGGTATCTCTGTATTGTGCACAGCTCTGTCTATTGTATATGTATCTCTGTATTGTGCCTAGCTCTGTCTATTGTATAAGTATCTCTGTATTGTGCACAGCTCTGTCTATTGTATAGGTATCTCTGTATTGTGTCCAGCTCTGTGTATTATATAGGCATCTCTGTATTGTGCCCAGCTCTGTCTATTGTATAGGTATATCTGTATTGTGCCCAGCTATGTGTATTGTATAGGTATCTCTGTATTGTGCCCAGCTAGGTGTATTGTATAGGTATCTCTATATAGTGCTCAGCTCTGTGTAGTGTGTGTGTGTGTGTGTCTATATATATATATATATATATATATATATATACATATATATATATATCTGTATTGTGCTCAGCTCTGTGTATTGTATATGTGTCTCTGTATTGTGACCAGCTCGGTGTATTGTGTAGGTACGTCTGTATAATGCCTAGCTCTGTCTATTGTATAGGTATCTCTGTATAGTGCCCAGCTCTGTCTATTGTATAGGTATCTCTGTATAGTGCCCAGCTCTGTCTATTGTATAGGTATCTCTGTATAGTGCCAAGCTCTGTCTATTGTATATGTATCTCTGTGTATTGTGACCAGCTCTGTGTATTGTATATGTATATCTGTATTGTGCCCAGCTATGTGTATTATATAGGTATCTCTGTATTGTGCCCAGCTATGTGTATTGTATAGGTATCTCTGTATTGTGTCCAGCTATGTGTATTGTATAGGTATCTCTGTATTGTGTCCAGCTATGTGTATTGTATATGTATCTGTGTATTGTGTCCAGCTATGTGTATTGTATAGGTATCTGTGTATTGTATAGGTATCTCTGTATTGTGTCCAGCTATGTGTATTGTATATGTATCTCTATATAGTGCCCAGTTCTGTGTATTGTACAGGTATCTCTGTATTGTGCCCAGTTCTCTATATTGTACATGTATCTCTGTATAGTGCCCAGTTCTCTGTATTGTATATGTATCTCTGTATAGTGCCCAGTTCTGTGTATTATATCTCTATTTGTGGGATTATAGTTCTGTTTGTGATATGGTTATCTCTGTATTGTATGCAGCTCTATGTAGTAAACCGTGGCAACGCTCTGACGGCCGCGGGTGTCGCAAGATTTACACTAGGAGCAGAACGGAGCTGACAGGGGAGCTGCACGGAGGAGAAGGGAGCTGACAAGAGCTGCTGTAAAGGTAACCGCTCGCTGCCAGCCTCAAACAGGACCGCCGGGCTCAATGTAAGTTGCCATAATACAGACATTGACTCGAGTATAAGCCGAGTGGGGCTTTTTCAGCACAAAAAATGTGCCAAAAAACTCGGCTTATACTCGAGTGTATACGGTATATTTAAAACAGATTTAAAACTTACACAATTTGATTCCCAAACAATATCACTTTGACCAAGTTTGCTTAAATAATTACTAGAATAATTTTACACTTGGAAATGCCTTAGCAGTAAATTAAAATACGTTTAAATACCCCTAATTTCTCAAATAAAGGTTTGTAATACAGAAACACACATTGTCCGTTTTCTATGTATACAATCAGAAATGTATCATTTATGGAGCGTTCAAACAGACTTACCCAGTGCAGCACAAAGACAGCGAGGGAACTAACATTGTGTATCAAGACCTTTTAAATACAGCTGGATATGCCGATACAGCATTATTTATATTTGGGATATAATGTTATAATGATCCACTTCGGAAAGTGTTGAAGTTGCAGGTTTCTGTTGATCAGATTGGTAGTTATATCAGGACATGTGGTGGAATCATCAATGTACGGAGGAGGAAGGTAACGCATCTCAAATTTTCCTTCACGCATACCACACTCAACAACCATTAAGCCAGAAAGTGATTAGGACAGGCAGTTATCTTGGCAGGAGATGGAGTGGATGCGTTAATATTTATGACAATCATTTCTCATTCATTTATAGAGTAATAACTCGTTCACACAAAATAAAAAAACTAATAAAAAAAAATATTGAGTAACAGATTAAATAAAAGCAAGAAAGATTATTCTAAGAAAATGGATAACGATTGTAAATCTGGACTGATCGATTCTTTCGTACCAAGTGAAATATTCTCGTGCAGAAGCCTAGTGCATTATGAGATTTTTAACCAATTTTTAATTTTCATGTCACCCTAACTTGCCCCTTTGTAACGAGATTCTCGACTCTCTGTTATACAATTGTCGGTTATGCATAAAGTGTTGTATTTAATTTTTATGCTTTTTTAGGTGTTTGTCATTGTTGTCTTTGCATCAAAATATTCCATACCTCGCCTCACCTTTTCCTTATTTTTATTTGTTCTCAAAATATTTCAGTTCCACAAATTGTTATGCCACTGTCAGATTGGCAGGTATTATGTGATGGGTATGCAACGTAAAAAAAATTACATCGAATTCTAACTGTGCCTTTTTTTTTTCTCCCCAAGCAACATAACTTATTTTTCTTCATATTTTGTGAACGTAATAAGTTAGCGTGAATATGTATTTTATTTTGACACATTACTAATTTAAAGGACCAGACGTCATAATTAGGTAATTAGTTAATTGACCTCGCTGAGGCTGCTGGTGTTGAAGCTATTTTAAGGATCTGTTAATGTGAAAATCTGGCCTCTACGACGTCCTTGACAACAGAAATGGAAAAATCCATCCAAAACAGAAGAATTCTGCTGACAAAAATCAAAACATGAAATGTGACTGTTTTATTAAAGAAAATTAACTATAAAAAAAAAAAACAGAAAACAAAATCAGACAAACCAAAAGAGTGTGAAAATGGGTCAGCCAGTGTAATAATATATACAAGATATAAATATTATAGATATATTTAGCAGAACATTGAGGGGTGCATTTTACTGCCATTTAGTTAATCGATCAAGAAATAAGAAGTAAATAACAAAGGAAAAAAAGGAGGACTAATAAAATTAAAAAATGTATATATTACATTAACTATTATTTTTTTTTTGTAGATTTCCACTATCTGTCAACCATCTTTTTCCCATCTGTCATTTCTTTTTTGGCATTATGGGGAGAACTGTGAATCATGAATCAAACGAACATATTCGTCCATTGCTTTTGTGATTAGTTTATATGTCAATTCAGAAATCCTGAATCCAAAAAAAAATAAATAAATAAATAACAAAACTAATATTCAAGTCTACAAATTACAGCTTCATTAGCTTTGTGATGGGTCTTCATCTCTCATTTTTTTTTTTTTTTTAGAAACTAAAAGTTGGAATTATACTGAATAGAATTAGCTGGAAAAAAAAAACACCGTAAACTGCTTTTAGAACTGACAAAAAGGCACGGCATCCTGGCTTGTATAGTGGAGAACGTTTGCCAAAACCTTCGCTTGATAATCTGGATGTAAAACAGCTCATTGAACTGAGACCTGCTAAGCTATGGATATGTAGTGTATGCATCCATGTGGGTTGGTGGGGAGAGTTTATCCAGGCATGGTTAGCTTGGGGTTGTGCCAGGACTTAAAAGGAAATATATTCCATTTCCATGGAAAGTTATGACCAGCACAACATCTTATCAAAGGTCAACTAGCCTCCTCAATAGAATGACCACTACTTTCATCCTTCCCATATTTCAGATTCCACCCATTTCCAATATTGGACATGAAATGGAAAGGTGTATGTTGAATTTTTGTATCCAGTCTAAGTCCTAAAACAACACATGTTGAGAAACACTATATAAGGGAATTACCAGAACTTTATAATTTGTCCCCAAGTTCCAGATTCTTAGTCGATGAGCTTTTCAGGTATATTCATTACGAATGTAATATGTCTATTGCCATATGACATATAGACAAACATAAACAAATAGAAGGGGGCTCCTAGTTACTCATACTTGTTAACCTAACAGGTTCCTGGTGTCTTAAGCTAATTTTTTTTATATATATATTTAATAAAGAACCGTGAGGAACTCACGTGATAAACTAATTTAATCTCAGCCTGATTTTGCTCGATGTAAACTGATTCTTTGACTAATAAGAGGGAAGAATTTATTTTAAGAGATATTTTGACTAATCCAGTGGAAACAATCTATATTTAACACACAGTGTATCAAGTTTGTATCTTTGCTTAAAAAAAAAAACACACACAAGAAGAACTCATTTGAAGTCATACCGAAGTTAGAATTACTTTATTTTGAAATAAATACATGGGTATTTAATGCTTGCTCTGTCCCTCACTAAAATATTTAATCTCTCCCTCTCCTCTGGTACATTTCCTTCACCTTTGAAGCATGCAGCTGTAAGCCCAATTCTAAAAAAAGTCCAAACTTGACCATAACTCCCCATCCAACTACCGCCCTATCTCACTACTATAGTTTGCCTCCAACATCATTGAGAAAGTTGTGTACCAATTTCCTTGAATCCAACTCTCTACTTGACTTACTCAGTCTGGATTCCGCACTTTTCACTCTGTTGAGACAGCTCTGACCAAAGTGTCCAATAATTCAATTGCTGTAAAATCTATTGGTCACTACTCTATGCTAATTCTCCTTGACCAGTCTGCTGCTTTGGACCATGTTGTCATCAACAACTTCTTCTCATCCTCCATAATCTCGGTCTATGAGACACTGCTCTCTCCTGGTTCTCCTTCTACCTCTCCCAGTGCTCTTTCAGTGTTTCTTTCTCTGGCTCTTCCTCTGCCTCTTCTCCACAACCCTTCTTTGTTGGTGTTCCCCAATGTTCTGTCCTTGGTCCCCTAATGTTCTATACCTTAGTAAACTTATCAGCTCTTTTGGCTGCCAATATACTTTTTATGCGGTTGACACGCAAATCTATCTGTCCTCCCATGATCTTTTACTATCCCTCTTGACTCATGTCTCCAAATGCCTCTCTGCTATTTCTAACTGGATAGCTGCTCACATAGTTAAACTTAACTTGTCCAAAACATAACTTTTTGTCTTTCCTCCCTCAATAATTAATGCTGGACAAAGCTAAATTGCTGGTCCATGCTGCTATGCTCTCTCGCCATGACTACTGCAATCCACTTCTCTGTGGTCCAACGTGTTCCCAATTTGCCCTTTTAAGGTCTATAATGTATGCGGCTGCGAGGCTTATCTTCCTGTCCGCCCGCACCTCCCACACCTCTGACAGTCCCTACATTGGCTTTCTAATATATAGGGCTCAACTTAAAATTCTGGTGCTTGCATACAAATCTCGACATAAATATTCTCCTACCTACCTATCCTTCCCAATACCTGTCCCATCCAGGCCCCTACACTCTGACAAAGACCTGCATCTATCCTCTGTTCATACTCTTACCTCTGATGCTCGCCTTCAAGACTTCTCTAGGGCTGTGCCATTCCTATGGAACTCCCTTCCCCTCCTTTAGACTCTTACCCAGTCTCCATTTCTTCAAATAATCACTGAAAACTCACTTCTTCAGGAGAGCATATCAATTAAACCATTACTAGCTTTTATTGCCCGCACCATGCTTCCTCTTCTTAAACTGTGTCGTCCAAAAGAAAAAACTACTAAGCCCTCATTAAAAACTATTCTAGCAACTTACTTTTCGTGTCATTTTACCCGACTCTCTCTAGAATGAAAGCTCTTTTGAGCAAGGCCCTCAACCCCTCTGCTCCTGTGCGTTAAACTCCTCTGGTTACAAAAACTTGTCTGCTAGCACCCGTTGTACAGCGCTGCAGAATTTATTGGAGATTTATCTATTCATATCTCTCAACATATAAAATAGAATTGTGGTAGCTGTGTTAGTGCAGTATAACATCTCTTTGAGTGGTGCAACATTAATTTCTATAGATGTTCCCTATTTAAGTCAAATGGAATTTAAGTGTTCTAATTTCACTTAATCTTAGGGTTTACATATTTTATATGTTCACAAGTGGTAATTACTTAAATTGCATTTTATCTAATATTACTATCCAATGTTTTATTTTCACTTATTTTTTTTATTTTTTTATTTTTTTATTCTTTATTTTTGGTATGCAGGTAGGTACAACAGTGCCTGTATCGCCACAACAGCGCCAGCAGGCTCAATTTTCATAGTCATATTAGAACAGTAATGTGGTATTTTCACTTATTTTAAAGATACCAGACAAGTATATTGCCATATTAAAATTTTCGCCAAACGAAACATTTATTACATACAGTATATTACATGATATTTAATGGACAGAACATGTTTTTGAATGCCATACTGTATGGTCCTGATCTGTGCATTTATTCCTTTTAATAACAGGTGATGCACTGATTACCTCTGTAAAGGCTGAGAGCCCTGATCTCGAGCAGAATTGGGGCATGTGTGTCGCGGTCTGCCTTTGATTAGAGGAAGTTACATTGCTGCTGCATTTTAATGTTGGCTAATGGAATAGCTGCTGCCTGGGACTGTGATCTCAACTAGTCTATGAAACATAGAAACATAGAAACATAGAATGTGACGGCAGATAAGAACCATTCGGCCCATCTAGTCTGCCCAATTTTCTAAACACTTTCATTAGTCCCTAGCCTTATCTTATAGTTAGGATAGCCTTATGCCTATCCCACGCATGCTTAAACTCCTTTACTGTGTTAACCTCTACCACTTCAGCTGGAAGGCTATTCCATGCATCCACTACCCTCTCAGTAAAGTAATACTTCCTGATATTATTTTTAAACCTTTGTCCCTCTAATTTAAGACTATGTCCTCTTGTTGTGGTAGTTTTTCTTCTTTTAAATATAGTCTCCTCCTTTACTGTGTTGATTCCCTTTATATATTTAAATGTTTCTATCATATCCCCCCTGTCTCGTCTTTCCTCCAAGCTATACATGTTAAACATAGAAACATAGAAACATAGAAATTTCATAGCGATGATGTATATGTGGTTTAGTTAGTCCTGTGACCTGTCGTGTTAGTGTATCTTTAAGACTGGATTTGAATCTTCTGTCTTCTAACATTCACATGGAGCTCAGAGAGATAAAGTTGATTGCACTGAGATATGTATGTTCCAGTACTCCCCTAACAGAAATGTCCACATTTTACAGTGCCCCTTTCCCTCTCACCCTCCGCCACCAGGTGGTGCAGAAGGGGTTAAAAACTCAGCCTCCGCTCCTCCCCTGCCGACATCAGCCGACAGCGGAACCTAATGTGCATGCGTGGCAATCGCTTTGGGTGACGCTGGATGTCCTCATGCATAGCGTGAGGACGTCCAACGTCAGTTAGGTGACCAAAAGTCACCTAATGACCCAGAAGTGCCTCTAGTGGATGGTAGACAGCCACTAGAGGTGGAGTTAACCCTAGCAGGTAATTTTTGCAGTTTATCAAAAACTGCAATACTTGCTATTGTAGGGTTAAGGGACATGGGACACTGCACCCAGACCACTGCAATGAGCTGAAGTGGTCTTGGTGCATATAGTGTCCCTTTAACCCCCTATACTACACTACACTATCCCTAAATCTTAACCTTAATCATTAATCTTAAATGTAAACATTGAAATGTGTTTTAGAGGAAAAAGATGCTATCTCACTCATAAAGCATCTGACCTTCAGTCTAGTGGTTTATCAAAATGTCTCTGAAACCCTTTTATATTTATATATAATTTTTTATTTTTTTTAATATACTTTAGTGTAGCATTTTTAATACAAACCTGCATAACAAACCGGAATTACATTCTTCATGTAGTGCCTGCAGGCAGAAATAGTTGGTCTAGCAACTGTCAACACTGAAGCATCTGTTCTAGAACGGCTGAAATGAATATCCTGCAAGAATCTAGTGCCGTTCAAATTATCTTAAATGGGAAATATATAGAATTTCCATTTTATCCACAAGTACATTTTATTGCGATTCGGTTCTGCTTGAAATCGCAGTTTTATATTGGGATCACAGTAGCACATACATCAACACATTTCTTGTGGCACCTTGTAGAAGACCGGTTTTCCATATGGCCGTAGTGTGTTAGAGATATCTTGTATCATCCAGTGGTCAACCGGGGGAAAATGATAGCGTCGACACATTTACAGCTGTGAGATTAATTTCCAAATAAAGAAATTGATAACGCTGTATTAGCAAAATTAAAAGTATAAAAGGAGTCGTGACCATCCTTCTCTTTATCCTTCACTGACTGCTTCTAGAGGTAAGGAAACACCACGAAGGCAAACGTTTCACGTTATGAATAATAGAGTTGTCCGTATCTTGTGCTTTTATCTACTACATGATTTTCTGGCTGAATTACAAATTTCGAATTTCCATGGTGTAATTAAATGCTAATATATTTTAAAATCCTATACATGGCGCTTGTTTTAATTTTTTAGGGGAAGGGTTGGCTTTTTAATCAAGCCTCTGTAAATACAATTAATCCTCTAGAACAGTGGTTCCCAACCCTGTCCTAACGTACCCCCTAACAGTCCAGGATTAAGGGATTACCCAGTTGTGTCTGTCTTTTTAGAGAGAAAAAAACACTTTAGACATAGGGTAATTCCTAAATCCTGGACTGTTAGGGAGTACCTGAGAACTGGGTTGGGAACCCCTGACACCCAATATCGCTCCCCTCCCCTGCTTTTGATGGAGTAATATAGTCCAACACTAGTAGGGGGACCAATCACTGCTTTGTTTAATTACACCCAAAAAGAAATAGCATAACAATGTTGCAGTGTCTAGTATACACTGGCAATCTAACATACTGAAGATGCACTGGGTCAAAAATTTCAGTGAACGCCACTGGAACTTAATATAGCTTGAAGAATCATTTTGCCCATGAATTATTATTTAGTTTGTCTACATGCAGGCATTGAACTTTAAAACCTGTATTTTAATATTACTAATAACTATGCAAAAAAAAACCTCCATATATAGCTCCATATGGGATACACATACCTCTCAATTTTTCAAGTGGACACTTTTATTTTAGGGGAGGGGGTGTGTCTGGGGGCATGGTAGTTCTGATAAAATGTAGATGACTTACTTAGAACAATTTTTGCAACTAAAATGTAATTAAGAACAAGAACAATGTATCTTATTTATGTAAAAGGATTGCTAAACAAATTTATTGGGGTTTAAAGACACATTACTGTGAGTATAGTGAGTATAGTGGCGCTCTGTTATACACACTCAAAAAAATTAAATTTGAATTGCACAAAACTATATATATTTGCATAAATTCATTACATGAATACATTCTGTCCCTTCCATGGCACGTTGAGTCAATTTATTGAAGCACATTCACATATTTATAAAGTACCCAGTATAGTAAGGAATTTTAACATGATGTTGTGCTTTAATTTTGCCATTAAATTAAAAATGAATCGTATTCTGAAACACATGAAAAACAATTAAGCAAATCCTACCTGCATTTCTTTTACAGCTTGGTTCCATTTCACATTTTTCTCACCCAAGAAGGATATTAAAGGTATGTCTGTCGAGTGACCTAAACAAAAAAATGAAAAAAAAATATGAGAATCAAACACCGAAAATTCCTATTAATTCTTGTGTTTATTGTGTAAATAATTGTACTTATGGGGAATACAACTAAATTAGCATAATTACATTTATTGAACAAATAACTACAGTTCATATTACTAACAGTTCCTTTTCATTCCTGGGAACAAAACAAGAATAATCCTATTAAACACATTTTAAATTAAGTACTCTGACATTGTTAAATTGACCAAAATGTAGGGATTGAATTGATGTTCCTGTGCACGAGCAGTTTATATTTAAATAGTTTACAAAAATGGTGGCTGAATGCTTAAGAGCAATTCTGGGGAAAAGTTCTAAGACTGGAACAATAAGCAGGACCATTCCATTGGTTTCCATGACTGGTGTATTAGGAGCAATCTGCTGTGGAATCCTGCTTTACATAGAACTTCTCAAGGGAAATTATTCTACTCTCTTTGTACTACATATATCTTTACTCTTGTGTAGTAAACCATCAACCATGGGTGACGCTGAGATGGCTGCATTTGGGGAGGCAGCCCAATTCCTCCGAAAATCAGACAAGGAGAGGCTTGAGGCACAGAACAGACCGTTTGATGCCAAAACATCCTACTTTGTGATAGACCCAAAGCAGATGTATGTGAAGGGTATCATTCAGAGCAGAGAAGGTGGCAAAGTCACTGTGAAGAAAGAAGACAACACGGTAAGTTGCAATGTGTCATTAGTTAAAGGAACACTATAGTCACCTAAATTACTTTAGCTAAATAAAGCAGTTTTAGTGTATAGATCATTCCCCTGCAATTTCACTGCTCAATTCACTGTCCTTTAGGAGTTAAATCACTTTGTTTCTGTTTATGCAGCCCTAGCCACACCTCCCCTGGCTACGATTGACAGAGCCTGCATGAAAAAACAACTGGTTTCACTTTCAAACAGATGTAATTTACCTTAAATAACTGTATCTCAATCTCTAAATTGAACTTTAATCACATACAGGAGGCTCTTGCAGGGTCTAGCAAGCTATTGACATAGCAGGAGATAAGAAAATCTTAATTAAACAGAACTTGCAATAAAGAAAGGCTAAATAGGGCTCTCTTTACAGGAAGTGTTTATGGAAGGCTGTGCAAGTCACATGCAGGGAGGTGTGACTAGGGTTTATAAACAAAGGGATTTAACTCCTAAATGGCAGAGGATTGAGCAGTGAGGCTGCATGGGCATGTTCTATACAGCAAAACTGCTTCATTAAGCTAAAGTTGTTCAGGTGACTATAGTGTCCCTTTAAGGCTGGAAACACTAACATAGAGAGGTATTACAACAATTTTAATTCAGATATTTTATAAACCTCTTGGCTTCCTAAACTACAGAAATATATATTCTAATGAGTTGAGAGAGCAATGTCTTCCAACTAGAATTACATTTATGTCCAGCTTTTCATTAAGTATATACTTGTGATGATATATGTGTTCTTTGACTTAGACTGTAACGGTGAAGGATGATGAAGTCTTCCCTATGAACCCACCCAAGTACGATAAGATTGAAGACATGGCCATGATGACCCACTTGAACGAACCATCCGTCCTGTATAACCTCAAAGAGCGTTACGCAGCCTGGATGATCTACGTAAGGACTCTTGTTCTTTTTTAGCACTTACATTGGCTAAATAGGACACAAACCCAAAACTAAAATAAAAGATCCGCAAAATAAACATGGGAATTGAACAATCATTTGTAAATGTTTTCCCTATTATTAGTGAGGACTCTAATTATTAATCATTTTTTACAAGCAAGCACCCTGAAAACATTACTATTAATAGGGATTATCTTTTTATTTCAATACAAAGCATAGAACATACTGAAATTTAATAGAATTGCAGCATAAATAAATTTCACATGCTTTGTTCAAGATCATTTTTTTATTTAAAAGGCAGTTTTTTTCAGCTTTGACTTTGGAAATTTATATCAATTTGATTCACAATAGCTCAGTTTGTACTATAATTCATAATTACAGCTTTAATTGTTCTGGTTGTATGTATTTGTATATCGTAACCAATTGTTGCAGAAATAAAGTTTTTGTGAAATAAAACAAACTGTGTCTATGATTAGCTATGATCTAACACCTATTTATTTATTCCGTGTTCACTCTAGACCTATTCCGGCCTGTTCTGTGCTACAGTCAACCCCTACAAGTGGCTGCCTGTGTACAATCCCGAGGTGGTCAATGCTTACAGAGGCAAAAAGCGTCAGGAAGCCCCACCACACATCTTCTCCATCTCTGATAACGCCTATCAGTTCATGTTAACTGGTAAGCAGTCCTAACAATTATCTAACCACAGTAATAATGTAACAAAACAATCGGAAATATAATTAATAGTTAGAAAGAGAAGCAAACCTTCCAGACAAATAAGAATAAAATGTGGTCATCTTTTTAATAGGTATTGTGCATTTAATTCTGTGCTTAAACTGAAAAAAAATCTATGGTAACACACATATATGTATATAAATTTATATTATAGTATAACTATATAAATAAATATACAGTGCACGTATAAACAATATACTAAGTATATACTTTAGTAATTCAGCTTTTACATTTCGAGATATGTGAATAAAATATGTGATAACATTTAATAAAACACACTTTATATTTTATTTTTTCATAGATCGGGAAAATCAGTCTGTCCTAATTACGTAAGTTTCACATTAGGATTTTCTAATTATTAATTAAACCTATGGGGCAAAAAAAAATAATTAATGTTTGAGCAATAATTGTGAAATAATCCTAATTTATAAAATTATAAAATCCTTTTTAAACAAATAAAACTCATTCTTTTATTTATATTTTATAGCAAATAATGATTCATTCAAATATATATTTCATTAGGGTGATACTAGGTTTTATCTACAAAGAGCAATTTTGGAATAAAGTTCTAAATGAGGAGTCATCAATGGCAGTGTTCCAATGGATTGTATTGGTATAGCTCCCATAATAACCCCCAGTATATTTTGATATCGCCATCACCAAGAAAATAGCCCTAAATTAGATTTAAATTCTGTGTTATTTTTTTTTATTTTTTTTGCAATTATATCTTTCTCTCTTTATCTATTTGTATTCCCCAGCGGAGAATCTGGTGCTGGGAAGACTGTGAACACGAAACGCGTCATCCAGTACTTTGCAACAATTGCAGCTACTGGAGACAAGAAGCAAAAGGAGGTGGAGAAGAGCAAGGTTGGTTTCTTGAAATATATAGCAGGTTATTTAAAAGCCATACTTATTATTTATACCCTGCTATTTTAAAATAAACCAAACCCTTAATACACCTAAGATCTTCCTCGTGCTTTATCAACATCCATAAAAATATATTTAATGAGTATATAATATTCCTTTTTCTAGGGCACTCTGGAAGATCAAATCATCCAGGCTAACCCTCTGCTGGAAGCCTTTGGCAATGCCAAGACTGTGAGGAACGACAACTCATCCCGTTTCGTAAGTCTGACCACGTCGGCTACACCGTCATTGCAAGATAGAAACATTTTTTATTTTTTTTTGTAAATCGTCGCTCTCACAAACCATCTTAATTCACATGAATAGATTGTGATTTTTTTATACAGTTTTAACATTGTCATTTCAACTTCCTGATTTATGTAGATTACAGAGCATCTTCATTTTCATTAATTGAAAGACACTTTAAAAAAAAAATTCTTTGCATTTGAACACTGACTCTTTAAACAGATCACTAATCATTGTTGTACATCAGACACAGTACAACACCCACGTTATAGTTGTCCAGATAGCCACAAATACAGACATGATGTTTCTAATGCAGTCTAGCGATCATAGCACAACATTTCACATTTCAGTGCAAATGGCAATAAACGTCCTGCTTCTTGCGTAAACAAGTACATCTGACATCAATCATTTTTCTGTTTTAATTCGATTATTTATGTTTGATATGTATAGGGTAAATTCATCAGAATTCACTTTGGTGCAACAGGAAAACTATCCTCTGCAGACATTGAAACATGTAAGTTAAAGAATTAAGAACACCTTGAGGAAATTAATTGTAATTTTCACCTAACACTTATATTTATTTAATTAGATCTTCTGGAAAAATCCAGAGTCACATTCCAGTTGTCAGCTGAGAGGAGCTACCATATCTTCTACCAAGTCATGTCCAACAAGAAACCAGAGTTGATCGGTAAACAAACATTTCCATATATATTCTAAGAAAGTAATTAATAGGTGTAATGGAACATTTAGAGTGATAAACAAATAATGTTATGAACTCAGTCACATAACTTTGGGGACAGATACTTTTTATACAATTATCTACTTCATATATACTTGATTTTGAACTTGCTACTTACAATTGTCTTTGTCATTACTGTTTTCTTTTGTTTGTTTCATACCAAAAAAGAAATAAATAACAAAGATGTGAAGTGGGGGGTTTGAATTTGCAAAAATATATGTTTCATGTTTCATATTTTACAGACCAGCTGCTGATTTCAACTAACCCATATGACTTCCCACTTGTCAGCCAAGGTGAAATCACAGTGGCCAGCATTAATGACCAAGATGAACTGATGGCCACTGATGTACGTTCCTTCAACTTCATGTATGTTCCAATGTCATGTTTCCATTCTGCACCATGATAAATATTTCCCCAACTCCATGTTTTCACAGGAAGCCATTGACATCCTCGGTTTCAATGCTGATGAGAAACTAGGAATCTACAAACTGACGGGAGCGGTTATGCACCATGGCAACATGAAATTCAAGCAGAAACAAAGAGAGGAACAGGCTGAGCCAGATGGCACAGAAGGTAAAAATAGGACATTACCCGATGGATTACTCATGGACATACAGTGAATTATCAGTGCATTCAAATAACAGTAAAGATATCCCTCTTCCCAAAGTGTTTTAATTGTCACATTTTCTTACCCTTCATTATCAGCTGTAACAATTCATTTCTGTTATGTAAATTATATCATGGGTGAAGGGTTAGTAATTCAAGAAAAACTGAATGATGTTGTTTTCAGGTAAGGTTTTAACTTGGGAAATCTAAGCATCACCCTTAGATACAGTAAGTGGCCTTACTGTAGCTTCACAAACAGGGAATAACAATGTATTTTTTTTTAACTATCTTTCAGTGGCTGACAAAATTTCCTACCTAATGGGTCTCAACTCTGCCGATCTACTGAAGGCCTTGTGCTACCCAAGAGTCAAAGTTGGGAATGAATTTGTGACCAAAGGTCAAACTGTGCAACAGGTAATTTCAGTGCAATATCTGCCAAACATGAGTGAAAAAGTCATCATTGCTTGTAATGATTTCAAATTTTTTATTTGTTGAAAGGTTAACAACTCAGTTGGTGCCCTGAGTAAGTCAGTCTATGAGAAGATGTTCTTGTGGATGGTCATTCGTATTAACCAGCAGTTGGACACCAAACAGCCAAGACAGCACTACATTGGTGTCTTGGACATTGCCGGCTTTGAAATCTTTGACGTAAGAATTATGACATAATATGTCTGTGGCAAATCATGCATGAGATATGTAAAATGTGACATTATATGATACTTATATGTATGATTTGTATTTTTTCTTAATTAGTTCAACAGTTTGGAGCAGTTGTGTATCAACTTCACCAATGAGAAACTGCAACAGTTCTTCAATCACCACATGTTCGTCTTAGAACAAGAGGAATACAAGAAGGAAGGTATCGAATGGGAGTTCATTGACTTCGGCATGGACTTGGCGGCCTGCATTGAGCTTATTGAGAAGGTAAAGAATAATGTTCACTAGAAGTTATCTTTCAAAACACAGCAACACTTGTAGCACAAGAAAAAACGTTCAGATGATATTGAAGTTAAAAATAATTACAAATCAAAACCAAAACAACATTATATATACAATTTATTTAAACATATTCCCATAGAGAAATGGATAAATTAATATATGTGTTAAAGTATTGCTCCATTCATTGACTGTTTTCATGGTATAATCAATAGCCAATGGGCATCTTCTCCATCCTTGAAGAGGAGTGCATGTTCCCCAAGGCAACTGACACTTCATTCACCAATAAACTGTATGATCAGCATCTTGGCAAGTCCAACAACTTCCAGAAACCAAAGCCTGGTAAAGGCAAAGCCGAGGCTCACTTTTCCCTTGTCCACTATGCTGGAACAGTGGATTACAACATCAGTGGCTGGCTGGACAAGAACAAGGATCCACTGAATGAAACCGTCATTGGGCTGTACCAGAAATCTTCTGTGAAGTTGCTCTCATTCCTGTACTCCTCTTATGCTGCAGACCAAGGTAGGTAATCTTGATGAGGACACAATGTTTTTTTTTTTTTCCATGTCAGCATGTCCATAGCATTGCTTCTCTGTAATATTGTAATAATAGGGTGATATCATAAACTACTTATCCTACTAAATAAAAAAATATTTCTCCTTCAGAAACTGGTGGCAAGAAGGGTGGTAAGAAGAAGGGCTCTTCTTTCCAGACTGTGTCTGCTCTTTTTAGGGTAATTGCAATATTAAAGTTTCCCCACCCGTTCCTATATTTTTGCAATTGTGGAAGATGTTGACAATACATATATGATGACATTACATAATATCTTCAATCTACAGGAGAATCTGAACAAACTGATGACCAACCTGAGAAGCACTCATCCTCACTTTGTACGTTGTCTGATCCCCAATGAGACAAAAACTCCAGGTGAGTAAAAATAAATATGTTTCTATTACTCTACATCAAAAGGTGCTGCCATAATTTAAGCAATTTCATAAATACTGGAGTTTTGATTGAGCTGTTTTACCAGGTGTGATGGACCACTACCTGGTTATGCATCAGCTCAGGTGTAATGGTGTCCTGGAGGGAATCAGAATTTGCAGGAAAGGATTCCCAAGCAGAATTCTTTATGGTGACTTCAAACAACGGTATGAGTTATTCACTCACTCTTAACTTTAAGCAGCATGTAAGATTTTTGGTAACTTAAATGTAGCATATTTAAGAGTATTTAGACAATAAATGTAAGACACAACAAATGTTTGCATTTCTCCATTTTAAAAACAGTTACAAGGTCCTCAATGCCAGTGCTATCCCAGAGGGTACATTTATTGACAGCAAGAAAGCTTCAGAGAAACTACTTGGATCCATTGATGTTGACCATACTCAGTATAGATTTGGTCACACCAAGGTAAATAGTGTAACTGGAGTCTAATAATTGCTAGGATTATAAAATATAATCTCAGCTAATTTAAGCTATTCTTAAATTGTATAATACATTGTAAATATTATAATTTTATACACATCCCAGAATGTTACTGAAACAATGTGTTTTGATTGTTATAACCAAAGGTCTTCTTCAAAGCTGGTCTCTTGGGTACCCTTGAAGAGATGCGAGATGACAAATTAGCTCAGCTGATCACTCGTACGCAGGCTAGGTGCAGAGGATACCTCATGAGAGTAGAGTTTCAGAGGATGATGGAGAGGAGGTACTTTACACCCCTATATTATAAACATACAAATATATTACCTATACAATAAATGTTGGGTTCATATGATAAATCAAATCTATTAAATTTATTTTAGGGAATCAATCTTCTGTATCCAGTACAATGTCCGCTCATTCATGAACGTCAAACATTGGCCATGGATGAAGCTGTACTTCAAGATCAAGCCTCTTCTGAAGAGTGCAGAATCTGAGAAGGAAATGGCCAACATGAAAGAAGAGTTTGAGAAGACAAAGGAGGCTCTTCAGAAGTCAGAAGCCAAGAGAAAGGAACTAGAGGAGAAAATGGTCGGCATCCTCCAAGAAAAGAATGATCTACAGCTCCAAGTTGCATCTGTAAGTTACTTAAAACAGCTATAACATTACAGTTAGGTAGTTGACAGTTCAGAAAACCTTTTTAACGTATACATAATATTTTAAAATATACTGAACTACATAACATATTCTGCTAAATCTGCCAGTGTAAATGTAAGACCATTTCAAAATGATTTTTCCATACACTAGAAGTACGAATATGTAGTTCATCTGTAATTTTGCAATATTTTTAACCATAAAGAAATAGTTGTCATCAAAATACTTTTCCACAGGAATCTGAGGCTGTGTCAGATGCAGAAGAAAGATGTGAGGGACTCATTAAAGCTAAGATTCAACTGGAAGCAAAGGTTAAGGAAATTAATGAAAGGCTGGAAGATGAGGAGGAATCTAATGCTGAACTGACTGCTAAGAAGAGGAAACTGGAAGATGAATGTTCTGAACTGAAGAAAGATATCGATGACCTTGAGCTAACATTGGCCAAGGTTGAAAAGGAGAAACATGCAACAGAAAACAAAGTAATTAATCTTACGTATTTATTTTATGGATCCATCATACTAGTATAACTTCTAGTTATAAAAAATAAATTTTTATGATGAGGATATTTAATATGTCCATTGATACAAAGAAAACCCCCCCCAGAAATTTAGATATAATAATAGGTAAATTATTTTCATGTCAAGTCTGACTTTAGTCTAGGCAACAACTTTGCATAAATTGATAAATCTAAATAATGTCTAAATCTAGGTGAAAAACCTTACAGAAGAAATGGCTGTTCTGGATGAGAACATTGCTAAGCTAACTAAGGAGAAGAAAGCCCTTCAGGAAGCCCACCAGCAGACTCTGGATGACTTGCAAGCTGAAGAAGACAAAGTCAACACTCTCACCAAAGCCAAAACCAAGCTGGAACAGCAAGTAGATGATGTACGTACATATCATGCAGCATTCTCATTGTGATATCCTAGCCCATTACAAATGCTATACATTATATAAATATATTTGCTATATGAAGCTACACAATATTTTTGCAATAAGGTCGTCAAAGGTCATAGTTACATATTGAACCTTAGCTTTAAATCACAGACTCTGCAGGTTTGAGCCAAGTTATAACTGCACATTTCAATTATTCCACACAGCTTGAGGGTTCGCTGGAGCAAGAGAAGAAGCTCCGTATGGATTTGGAGAGATCCAAGAGAAAGCTGGAGGGAGATCTGAAATTGGCCCAGGAGTCTACCATGGATTTAGAAAATGACAGGCAGCAGCTGGATGAAAAAGTTAAAAAGTAAGAAAATGCTCAATGCTTCAACCACAGTATACAAACCTTAATCTGTGTGAATATGGGTAATTTATTTCACTCTCTCCAATTTCGTCCTCACCTCTTAGTCCAGGCTTCCCCAAACACCGGCCCTCCAGATGTTGCTGAACTACAACTCCCATGATTCTCAGCCTATCTATTTCATTCATAGAATCATGGGAGTTGTAGTTCAGCAACATCTGGAGGGCCAGCGTTTGGGGAAGCCTTTCTTAGTCTATCTCTCTGAGCTATTGTCGTATCATTTTCTCAGGTTATTTCTATTTCTTATGTTTACTTCTACTGAATTGGAGTATAATTATATATCATTTTTTTCCAAAAGTAAAGGATTTTTTTTTTTTTTGGCATATCATCCAAATTAATCTTCCATGTAACATTTCAATAAAAAAAAGTGAGAAATTGGTTTGTACACCAGATATGTGCCAATGCTCAAGACTGTTCGTCAACGAAGTTGAAGATTGTTGGTATCAAAATGACATTTGTGTTTGTTCCCAATAATACATATTGTGTGTGTCTTGTGTGTCTTCTCAATAAACAGGAAGGATTTTGAAATCAGCCAACTGCAAAGCAAGATTGAAGATGAACAGGCTCTGGGTGCTCAGCTGCAGAAGAAAATTAAAGAGCTACAGGTACAACTTTCAAACCAATGTGTGACAAAGGATTTTTTTACATTTAAAAATGTAAGTTTATACCTATTAGTTTATACCTATGTTATTTTGTCACCACTCTAGGCCCGTATTGAGGAGTTGGAAGAGGAAATTGAAGCAGAACGTGCAGCTAGAGCTAAAGCTGAGAAGCAACGTGCAGACCTCTCCAGAGAACTTGAAGAGATCAGTGAGCGTCTGGAAGAAGCTGGTGGAGCAACCTCAGCTCAGATTGAGATGAACAAGAAGCGTGAAGCAGAATTCCAGAAGATGAGACGGGACCTTGAAGAGGCCACTCTGCAGCATGAGGCCACAGCTTCCGCCCTCCGTAAGAAGCATGCCGATAGTGTTGCAGAACTTGGGGAACAAATTGATAACCTTCAACGTGTGAAACAGAAACTGGAAAAGGAAAAGAGTGAGCTGAAGATGGAGATAGATGATTTGGCCAGTAACATGGAGTCTGTCTCCAAAGCCAAGGTGTGTACTTTGGATATGTTAAATAAAATAAAAAGTTATTTATAAAAAAAACAAAAACAAAATAGAGAATCTAATTTATTTTTCAATTGCAACATATCAGAAAAAAACAACCTGTTTTTTTTTTTTTGCTTTTCAAAAGGCAAATCTTGAGAAAATATCCAGGACATTAGAGGACCAATACAGTGAAGTGAAAGCTAAAGAGGAGGAGCAACTTCGAGTAATTAATGACATCAATGCTCATAAAGCTCGTCTTCAAACAGAAAACGGTAGGTCTGTGTTTTAAGTGGACACTATAGGCTCCCAGACCACTTAATCTCATTGAAGTGGTCTGGATGCAATGTTCCCCTTAGCTTTGCAATGCAAAATATTACATTTTTAGAGAAACTAAAGTGCCTCCAGTGGCTGTCTACCAGACTGTGACTGTAAGAGTTTTTTGAACCCTTTCATGAACAGACGGACAGGGGGGACACATCTTTGTATTACTAACACTAAAGTGTTCCTTTAACGATTTCTATAAGAATTAAATAAACTTGGAAGCATGTACTTAGCGTCATGTTCATTGTATTCATTAGGGGAATTCTCTCGTCAGTTGGAAGAAAAAGAATCTTTAGTTTCTCAGCTATCCAGAGGCAAGCAGGCTTTCACCCAACAAATAGAAGAACTGAAACGCCATGTAGAGGAAGAGACAAAGGTAATTAGTTTTGAAAAATTTAATATAAACAAAACAAAACAAAAAAAACAACAATTGTAATCCACAATTAATTTATTAAAACCATTAAATCAGTCAACTATTTCACTATTTCCATGATTTAGAACCTAAGTTGGTAACAAATTAATTTCTAAAATATATTTACAATTCATTGATTTACTACTAACTCATTCTTAAGGCCAAGAATGCCCTCGCTCATGCATTGCAATCAGCCCGACATGACTGTGACCTTCTCAGAGAACAATTTGAAGAGGAACAAGAAGCCAAGGGTGAGCTGCAAAGAGCCCTGTCCAAAGCCAATGGGGAAGTTGCCCAATGGAGGACAAAATACGAGACTGATGCAATTCAGCGCACAGAAGAATTGGAGGAAGCCAAGTACGTTAACCATAAACATGTAATTTTATGTATACAATCTTGATTGTAGTATATCATTTAAGGTTAAATACATTTTGCTCTTCTTTATCTGAGCTTTAAAATAGTCTATAGTCATAGTATATGAAAACCAGTATTTCCCTAGGAAGAGATATCACGTTGACCTTTTTTTTTTTATCATCAGAACACACCAATGTATTTGGGAACCTACATTTATTATATAGTTAGCGGGCAGCCAAAAGATATTAAAGTAGAACAATTCCCATCAGTATTGAATGGACTTGCCATTGATGTTGTACGCTAGACAATGGGAAATGGGAAGGAGAGGACGATAGCACTTTAAAGTACCCTCTGGTAGGTGCTCACCCTGGGTTTTCCATCTCAGTCATGTAATCTAGCCAGAGGAACCAGGTTGTGTTGAATTTGCAGTTTCTTTCATGCAGATAAGCCATTAGGCCCCCATTTGCCTAATCTCTTTGACCTTGGCTAACCAATGGTTAAGTATCAGGGCACCCCTTTGCCTCCAGAAGACAAGGACCAGGAAATTTTACTACTTTTATAGTGGATAGTCTCAACAGATAGAAGCCATAGTTTGACTATTATTTTATACAGTGTTACTAATTTAAATAACTACTGTGTGTTATGACCAAACAGATTTTTATTGTCTAATACGTCTTGGTAAAAAAAATTGTAACAATAGTCTCCCCATTGTAAATATATGCATATATTGCATTTAATATTCAAAGGTCTCATAGTATGTATTAATTACAGGAAGAAGCTTGCCCAGCGTCTCCAGGAAGCTGAGGAGCAAATTGAGGCTGTTAACTCAAAGTGTGCATCTCTGGAAAAGACCAAACAGAGACTCCAAGGAGAGGTAGAAGACCTCATGGTGGACGTAGAGCGTTCCAACTCCGCCTGTGCAGCTCTTGATAAGAAGCAGAGGAACTTCGACAAGGTTTTTATTTATTTAATTAAAACCACTCTAGTATCTATCTGTAAACACACACTTTTCCCAGCCAGAGAACATTGCAACTGTATTGAAGGTTTTTATAATGACACTTGATTAAATTATTTAGGTTTTGTCTGAATGGAAGCAGAAGTATGAAGAAGCTCAGGCAGAACTGGAAGCCTCTCAGAAGGAGTCCAGGTCTCTAAGCACAGAGGTCTTCAAGATGAAGAATTCCTATGAGGAGGCTCTGGACCATCTTGAGACTCTCAAGAGAGAGAACAAGAACCTTCAACGTATGTATAATGCAGAGGTTGATAAATTGGGTTCAATTAAGGTGATTTCCCTCCCTTTATCCTCAATAGGTTAACATATTTAGGAATAATGTCTGTGTTTATATATATATATATATATATATAAAAATTGATCCTTGCACTCACGTATTCCTTACGTATTGCCTGGTGCATAAGCCAGCGGACAAGCATGCTATAGAAACCACAAAGATGATGGCTGCACTCCTCGAACTTCTTAAAATTCAAAATACTTTATTGTAAATCCATTAAAATGATCAGATCATTTTAATGGATTTACAATAAAGTATTTTGAATTTTAAGAAGTCCGATGAGTGCAGCCATCATCTTTGTGGTTTCTATATATATATATATATATATATATATATATATATATATATATTTACACCCACTATACAACTCGTTACGGCATTATGCCCTGAACACACACACACACATATATATATATATATATATATATATATACACATTTTATACATTGAACATAATACCCTCCCCACCATTTTTTCTTTCCAGAGGAGATCTCTGATCTAACAGAACAAATTGCGGAGTCTGGAAAGACTATTCATGAAATAGAAAAATCCAAAAAGCAAGCTGAACAGGAGAAATCTGACCTACAATCAGCCCTGGAAGAAGCAGAGGCAAGTAGAATTTTAACAATGGTAAAAAGTATGTTAATCTAGTGCATCTTTCATTTTTCTAAAAATAAATCTAAATATATACATACAGGGATCTCTGGAGCATGAGGAGGCAAAAATACTTCGTGTCCAACTTGAGTTAAATCAAGTAAAGGCTGAGGTGGACAGAAAAGTTGCAGAGAAGGATGAAGAGATTGAACAGCTGAAGAGGAACAGCCAGAGAGCTCTGGAGTCTTTGCAGAGCTCCCTGGATGCAGAGGTCAGAAGTAGGAATGATGCTCTCCGACTCAAGAAGAAGATGGAAGGAGACCTTAATGAGATGGAGATTCAGCTAAGCCATGCCAACCGCCAGGCTGCAGAAGCACAGAAACAACTCAGGAATGTACAGGGACAACTTAAGGTAAATTCATGTAAAAAATAAAAGGTTAACCTCGTATTATTATTATTTTATTATTTATATAGTGCCATCAGATTTTGTAGATGTGTACGGTGGGTGTACACATATTGGTTTGCTAATAACACAGCTTTCATGGTATACAGGATGTCCAACTGCATCTTGATGATGCTGTTAGAGGAAATGATGATTTGAAGGAACAGTTGGCCATTGTTGAAAGACGCAACAACCTCATGACTGCTGAAATTGAAGAAATGAGGTCTGCACTGGAACAGACTGAGCGTGCACGCAAAGTGGCAGAGCAAGAACTTCTTGATGTCACAGAACGTGTTCAGCTGCTCCACACTCAGGTGAGTACTGGTCATCATACTGGACTTCACAAACATTTTATTCATTGGGTTCTGGGCTTTTCTCACTTTCTTGACACAATATTTTTAGAACACCAGTCTTATCAACACCAAAAAGAAGATCGAGTCTGATGTGTCTCAACTTCAAAGTGAAGTAGAAGAGTCTGTCCAAGAGGCCAGGAATGCAGATGAAAAAGCTAAGAAAGCCATCACAGATGTAAGCACAGTCCTTATTTAATTTTATTATGAAGATTTTCATTGTATCATTTAATTGTGTGTTCTACAGAGGTTGGTATTTTATTCATGACAATAATCATATTGAGATTTATGGTTATAAAAGAAAGATGTAGTGCTGGTCAATGTTTAAATTTTTGCTGTTCTCCATGTAAGAATCCAACTCTATAATCTAAACAATCTTGTAGAATTAGATCTTAATAAAAGGTGATAATTCTCATTACAGCATATTATATTATTTTGCATTCTGTCAAAAACATTGTGAATAAATGTGTATTTTTTGGCTGCCCCAGGCTGCCATGATGGCAGAGGAATTAAAGAAGGAACAAGACACCAGTGCTCACCTTGAGAGGATGAAGAAGAACCTGGAGCAGACAGTTAAGGATCTTCAGCATCGTCTGGATGAGGCTGAGCAGCTGGCACTTAAAGGAGGAAAGAAACAACTCCAGAAGTTGGAGAGCAGGGTAACATTTGTCTTTTACAATCCTATAACTTGAATCCTAAAATTAAATATTGTAATGCTGCTTTTGCAAATACACATGTTGAGATCAAGTGTTATAAGTGTAACTGTTATATGTAACAGATTCGTGAACTTGAAAATGAGCTTGATGCTGAACAGAAGAGAGGCTCTGATGCCATCAAAGGTGTACGAAAGTATGAGAGAAGAGTGAAGGAATTGACCTACCAGGTACAAAGCCACTTACAGACTGACCATCCATAAATCCTTTGAGTTGCATGAGTTTACCATGCAACACAAGTCTGAGAAAGAGCACTGCATAGTTTTATTTTATGGACTGTTTGGGGAGAGAATATTAGATTCACTGCCCATTAGGTCCGCTTGTGTTCCACCTCAGAGCACCGGTGCTGAAGATAATGCCACATCCTTTTCTGGTGGACAGACTCGGCACACCAGTACATATATGGGAGCAGATATTGTGGCCTGTGCTTTCAGGAGACACACCGACTGGGAGCATTTTGCATCTTATACCACTTGGGATGAGATCTTCAGCCAAAATTGTAGGCACACACATATATGCTGGAATACTTTTGGGAGTCTGCAATACTTGGGTGTGGAGGTGGATAGAGAGGCTGGAGGGGAGAGGGGAGGGGGAATATGAGGGAGAAACATGATTCAAAATATGTGGGGAGGTGGTTTAAAACATAAGGAGGATGTTGAAGGCCAGAAATATGAGGCAGAGTCTGGAATTTGACGAGAGTGCCCTGGGTGTTGCTTTAAATATGGTTGGAAAAGTAGGCAGAATGCCTCTTGAAGGGGAATATAGTCATAAAAGGGTATATATGGGACATGCATGGCTTTGTCAAGCTGTACATGGTGTGTCATGGCATGATTATAGCTTGTGTATTGTACATCTATACGAGCACAACGCTCCTAGTGCATATATGCTCTGTGTTGGTAAACCTAGTTACTCAAATAGCTCTTGTGTCTTGCAGTCTGAAGAGGACAAGAAGAATGTCTTCAGGTTGCAGGACTTGGTAGACAAACTGCAACTGAAGGTGAAAGCTTACAAGAGACAAGCAGAAGAATTAGTAAGTTTTAATATTTTTGTGCAGATGCATGGATCCCCTTTTCAATAAAGCTTAAGGGTTTGAGATTTACAATAATTTGAACAAGCACAGTCAGTCACTTGGTTGTCCTGTTTGGCTTCTAGGAGGAACAAACAAACGTACATCTGTCCAGATTTAGGAAGACCCAACATGAATTGGAAGAAGCTGAAGAACGGGCTGATATTGCTGAATCTCAGGTCAACAAGCTACGAGCCAAGAGTCGCGATGTTGGCAAGGTAAAAGATGTGTTCCCAATTCCAGTTTGCTTTTCGATCTAGCTAGTGTATATGCATGTCTATTTATCCATCCATTGTATACTAAACCTGTTGTACTTTTTTCCTTCTTCCAGAAAGCAGAAGAGTGAAGAGGAGCACTCTAAAAGGATTTTCAAGTGATGTCCATAAAATATGGGCTGCTTTATAAATAGGGGGACTGTAATGTAATATCCTGGGCTCTAGATGCAAATAAATTCCAAGCAGAAAATGACTACGTATTGTGTATTTTTCACATTTAATTTCAGTGTAATGATTTACCAGCTAATGGGAGTGCCTGAGAGTTGAGAGATTATGATGTATTCCTGATACAAATGGATATCAAACAGTAAAACACATCTTTATAACACATATTCCACAACAGTGTATAATGGGTGGATGACGTAATTGTGGAAGAAAAATGTTCATCATACAAGAACCAGAGGTGAAAAGGGGCCACATTTAAACAAGCATTTAGTCTGAAGCAGTGGTTCTTATACTTTTTTGTCATAAACCCAAAGTAGGTGACTTTACCTTGGAAATCCATTCTTCATGTCTAAAACTAATTCAGTTACTAATTCTTCTACTGAACTACTGTTAAATTATGTTTTGTGAAACACCTCAATTAGATTTCCCAGGGCAAGTCGGGTTTGTACTTAGGAAAGGGATGTTGCTACAGAAAACTTTTTTGTGAGCAGTTGGCTGAGGCCTAATGAATGTGATGTGCCTTTTCCTACGGGAATCAAAAAAATAAATGTGGGCTTAAGTTTGGGTATCGACCCAAAGAAACAGTAAAGAGACACAGACAGTGAAGGCTAACTGTCACATGGTTGGGCAGTGAGCAGTACACTATCTACCAATGGCAAAGCACAGTTCAATATGATTGTACAGTGTACAGCCAACGCATTGGTATACAGAGAATAGATTATTATTCTTAGTAAATAAATTAGAATGGAATATTGGGGCAATAAGGTGTTATCTGTTGATTATGCAGACTAATACCCTCCATTTAAAAGGCCCTGCAAATGATTCATTACTGTTAACATAACTTTCCACAGGAATTTTCTACAAACATTTCCATAGACTTCAATGTTTCACTAATTTGGAAAGTTTATTAAATCGAGGTCATAATTTGTATCAAGGCTAGAAAAAGGCTCTTTGGGTTGAAGGATATACCTGCCCTTGCCTGCTTTAGGAAAGGATGTAATGAGCAAACAAATACAATCTATATGGCCATTTGGTTTGACATACTACTAAGATAGTGTCCCTGGCAGTTTGAGAATATAGACGTGGTTGGGGGTATCTAGTGACATGAGAAACCCAATTCAAAATATTCATTCATAACCTAAAGATATAAAGTCACTCTCTGTCCAAAGCCCCAGTAGACCTGCTCTCTGTAAGGTAATGCATTGTATTACAATTGTCTAAATTATATTATGAATGTCCCAAGGGAACCCCCAATATGAAAGTCCAAAGACCTTGAGGAACTTAGTGGCTTTGGAAATTTACTGTAGATTGTGACATCCTGTGGGACTATAAGGATCTTCAAGGGGCCTCCATCAGTATGCTGTACTCTACTCTGTATCTAGGGTAAATTGGTGACTGGTTGAAGAGTTTAATGCCAATCAACTGTTGGGCTGAAGCACTTCTCTGAACTCTCTCTAAAGTATCAATATCCTTCTGGAGATATGGTCTCCAGTACTGCGTACAATATTCCAAGTGAGGTCTCACCAGTGTTCTGTACAATGGCATGAGCACTTCGCTCTTTCTACTGCTAATACCTCTCCCTATGCAACCAAGCATTCTGCTAGCATTTTCTGCTGCTCTATTACATTGTCTGGCTACCTTTAAGTCACCTGAAAAGTTACCTCTAAATCCCTTTCCTCGGATGTTGAGGTTAGGACTG